GAATAGAATAGAATAGAATAGAATAGAATAGAATAGAATAGAATAGACAGTGGGAATAGAATAGAATAGGACAATGGGAATAGAATAGAATGGAATGGAATAGAATAGAATAGAATAGAATAGAATAGAATAGAATAGAATAGAATAGAATAGAATTCTTTTTGGCCAAGTGAGATTGGACACACAAAGAATTTATTTGTGGAAGCTCTCAATACAAGTGCAAGTAAAATAAATGAAGTACAAGTGATTGTGTTTATTCATCATTCCTATACAAGGAATGTTGATAAGTTTCAGAACTGAGACATTCTAAAAGATTGCATTCTGTTCCATGTGAGGGGAAAAAAGTATGTGTGCAACAAATTTTGCTTTTTTTTTTCCTACAGAATTTATGTCCACATTACCATGACTTTTTTTTTCTAATTGAGTTGGCAGGTGTCTATTTCTCCAAAGTAAGAAATTGATTATTTAATGATTTTGCAAGTGAGGTTAGTACTAATTCCGATGCAGAGAATATAGAAAAATCACTTACTTAAAAGTCAGTTGCCATTATTTTGCTACTGTTATGTTTACACATTTTTTTTTCTTCATTTTTATTATTGTAAGCTGCCTAGCCCTAGAACCCTCCTTACGGCGAGTTAGGCACCAAATAAATTTAACAAATAAATAAATAGAAAAATCAGCAACTTTACTTGTATTTGTTAAAATATGTAATCCAATTGCCTTCTACTCTGAGGCAATGGTGTTTGCATGCCAGGAAAGTGGATAAATTACACATGTGACTAGTTAATAAAAAGTTCATCATTCTTTGTGTATCTGTATAATAGCATATTCTCTAGACAGAGGGACCCCTGCTGGCACTTTTCACCTTTCTTTTTTCATTATGCTTCCTCAATTTGAAATGCTGAAGAGCACATGGGAAGCAAACTAGGGATCTCTGATTTTCTATTTCCTTCTTTTTTTCTTCCTGAGATATATATTAAGGTTTCTGAAACAGTTTTATCCCAGTCAGTTTAAAAGCTGGATCAATTGAAAGCTTTATTTTGCTTATTTTGCTTTTAGCGGGTAGAAGAATTCAATGTAAAGTAAATATTTTGATAACTGTATAGTGATGTGATACAAGTTCCTGAAAAACAGATATAATTTTGGTGAAAAACAGACCTAATTTCGATGGCATTTTTTGTGAAATTGCCCACGATGGGGTATATTTTAAATGAAGCAATTAGAGGGGTGTTTTTATCTATTTATCTATCTATCTATCTATCTATCTATCTATCTATCTATCTATCTATCTATCTATCTATCTATCTTGTTTAGAAAGATAGGAAGATAGAGATAAATATATAATCTCTAACCATTTATTGGGAATTCACTTATTAACCTTCTAGTTAATTACTTCTCCAGTCTAATAATAAACATCAAGGAAATTAATACTATTTTTGGTAAAAAAATAATAGTAACAAAATAGCACTGTATATATTTCTCTAAACTTGTTTCTTAAAAAAAGAAATTGTGTCTTAGATTACATGTTCAATTTAAGTGTTTCTTAATCAGCTATTACTTGGTACTCCCTTTGTGATAGATAGATAGATAGATAGATAGATAGATAGATAGATAGATAGAT